CAGAGGAGTGTGAAATACTTGATACTACGAGAGAATTAGGCCTACAACGAGGGATACCATTAGAACTTATCACCGTATGAAATCATATCCGATCTCAAAACGTGTAGGCCTCTGTTTACACATGTTTATCAATTTAATCCTGTTATTATTGAAGCTTAAGGCGAGATATGCTTGTTCAAAGCCGATAATCCATTGCGTCAATATTGACACGCTGTCGACGCGCACACATATTGATCGCGTCAACTTGCATTTCCTAAAATCAAGTACAGTATACTCTATTGAATAATTAGAATCCAGTGTGTTTACACGAAATATTTAACTAAGTTATTACCTTATCCATTTGCCAATATCTTAAACGAGTTAAATGTGAGAAAATATCACATTGTATTACTGTTTTTATCATTGCATAACTATTTATTTTATTGCGTTACTTCATTAGTTACCGGTATAGTGTTGCTGATCAATGCAATATTGTTAGTCAATATTCTTTACATTGCGTTACTGGATTGATCATCGTGTTACTCTTTGATCATCGTGTTACTCCTTTAATTATCGCGTTACTGTTATTACGATATTATCGATCATAGCGTCACAATGTAAAATACCAAAGTTCTCGTGCTAATTTCCAGACCAATGTTATGACATCATTACATGTCATCGATTACGTCATCCATATCATACTTGTAGAATCAAACGAATGAATATAATAAAGAAAATATCAGAAATGTTAAACAATTTTGTTAAGGTTGGCAGTCAGTGTTGCGCAAACATAAAAATCAGGTCATTATGGGTACGCCATTGTGTTTAAATAGTACATCGACATAAGCTGCATTTTAACCGTTACTTCAAGCTATAGTTGTGTTTGTATTTAATCCCACACACTATAAGTCCCAGAATATTCTGGGGTTTACGGCTTGAATAAACTGTGTTTTTAAAGTGTGTGTAACAATTATTTTAAAGATGTTTGTTAGATCAGGGGTCATCCGCAGTTTGCTGTATATTCCATAGGGGCAAACACGAACATTACCCGTTGACAATTTGGGTAAACAGAGACCTACTTCCCATTCATTTGTATTGACATACGGCTGACGGAGAGATTACCTGGTTGTGGGTCATCAGCTCATGAAAATCCTATAGTGGTGTCGTACCAGATAATACATGATTGGGGCCTGAAATTCTACACGTGATTAGCATTGATTTTCTCAATGGAGTAGTCTACAAGATGAGGTTAAGTGTGTTTGTGTTGACATGTCAATTTCAATTATGCGAATATCTTTATTGCATTGCTTCTCTTCACGATCTCGTCGTTTGGGGATAGTGTGTAAGCCTACTTAACGTTGTATCCTCCTTGTCCTCATTTTTCAGTCCCTGTCGAATTGCCTTTCACGACAGAAACACCTTCCCTAATCCACTCCACTGCACCACTGCACTGATGAAGTGTTTTAAGCCTACCTCAGAATAATTTTGAGGTCATTCTAATAAGATCTGCTTTAGAGTTTTCAAATCGAGTGATAAGCAATGTAAGGGATCTTGGAAGATGAGTGGGGGACAGAGACAGGGGAAGGGTGAAGGGATTGGGGAAAAAAAAATCTCGAATGAATTATTGATAATATATATAATTGCATCGTCATTTTCTTGTTCTGATGGGAAGCGTCATATGAGGAGTTCTATCAATTAGAGAGACGACCTTAATAGGCCTGTTATTACCATTGTCTTCTGTGAAATTGGAACAGCATGATAGGTGATTGTACGGTACTTAGAAATAATATGGAGAAGGTTTCCAATTAACAATTAGATGATATAATCAACGTTAGATATTACATAGTGTTGATTCGAGGCCTTGTATCTTAAAATAACAAGGCACTATTTTTAAGTGATCATCATTTTATCTAGAGTCAATTTCATTACGCTACTATCAGCTTGTCCAGATTCATGAGCAAATAATCGTCAATGAAGTTAACCCCTCCCCCCACACACACCCTCAATATCACTTCATTTGTTTGTGTTACGTAAGGTAACTATGTAGGTCTACCGTGTACTCAAGCCCCAAATTAACCTTAAAAAATCTAAGAAATCTGTTTTGAATGTATCTCGTGCAAGACATAGCCTATGTTCTCACACGGCAGCTAACGGTTAGAAGGATCCGGATCTTAACCGTTAGCTGTCGTGCGTCCATACGAAAAAAAAAATCCCGATCCGAATACCAAGAATATGATGATCGAATCACTGGCCAATAAGAAAATGGGAATTGTAAACGCGTATGTGTGATTGGCTGATGATAGAAACGCGCTCAACGTGCTAACCGATAGTGCTGGTTAACCGTTAGCGGTATCCGGATAACGCTAACGGTTAGCGCTAACCGATCGGGCGTTCTCACACATGTGCTAACGGTTAGCGCTAACGGTTAGCTCCCGATCCGGATACTAGGTCTCTCGTGAGAACCAGGCTACACTCAGCTCCCTGAGTACAGGCCCCCTCCAATCAAAGACCACTTTTGGGACCTGGGTTTCCATGGTTTTTAGCAGCTTTAGTCTCTAATTAGAATAATAAAGATAAGACATTAACATTAATAATTTGGGACCACAAAAAGCGCTATTTTATTTGGAAGTGCTCTTTGATTGGAGGAGTCTTAAATTAGAAGGAGACTTGTAATAAGTCGTAAATTCAGTGCGTTCAGAGAAAACATAAACTATGCTCCAACGGCAATAAACATTGGCCAAATATCTAAAACTCGAACCACCAAACTTTCGATTCTAGAAACCTCTGCCCAGATTGAAAACTACATGTGTTGGAATGGCCAACAATGAACTTTAAAGAGATGCACTTTTTAACAATTGAAACTCAAAACTATAGACAATTATCGTAGCAATTAAGACTCGGAGAGCATCGGTTGAGTCACACAGATGCGGGGCATTTACGACAGTGAACTTTTGCCGATTTGACACTCTTGAGCATCACACCAACGCTAACAATAGGACATCGAACTCTTGCCATTTAGCATTCGTGAATATCTTTTAATGTTATAGTTCTCAGATTAATTACCAATTAACTTTTACTTATATTCCTTACTTCTGATAGTTATGTGGTTAATACCCTTGGTACCAATACCTTTCATTATTTAGGCCATAGCACTATCAATGCCCTTCGCATAATCCCACAGCTTCACTCACCCCCCGCCAATGTTGCAACGAATCGATAAAGTTACACAATATAATATTCTAGGCCTAACTTTTATTGCAAATTCAATAATAATCAATTGTATATAATCAAAGAGTGTGAAAATCCATCATGGTTCGTAGGCTTTCACATCAGTATTCAATTTTTTTTTCCTCAATCTTGAGAACGATAAAAACAGTTAAATTGACACCTTCTTAAAGAGTGACGTCAATATAAATGTTTAGTCTATCATTCTATGCCTGTTAAAACATCATGATATCTCTGTCCTTGTGTGGAAAGACAATACGGCATATTATCATTCAAGTGACGTCATTGTTTATGTAGAATCCTGTAAACTTTAAGCGTTCGAATAAAAGAGTTTAGTTGAGTGTATTCTGTGCCGACCAAATAGAAATTAAAGTTATGGAATGCCAAATTCGCAAAATATGTTTCCTAACTAACTTAATGACTCCCAGTTCTAGCAAGCGTCGACGAAAGCGCGAAAAAATAAATAAATAAATAAAAAAGAAAATCGGCGCAAATATCATTTCGTATTCAACTTCGTCACAGACTACAATGAAACATCTTTTATCACTAAGCAAACTACATCAAGTACAACATACATTAATGTCACTTTTATGAAGTTAAAGGAAACTGTATTTAAATATCGCCGATTGATATGCACATTTTTATAATTATTACATCGAAACCTAGATACCTATTGTGTGTACACAAGCAAACAAGTTTTAAATGCTTTGACGAAGGATGCACCCGTAATGGTTGCTTAGCAACTCGGTTGACGCTTTACCTTGGAATGAAATATTTAATATTGTGGACAACATAACAACAATTTTGTGCCAATAAGCAAATCCACAAATACCTCGACATAGGCTTCAGTACAAACCTCAACAACATTTGTTTAAGGGATCTAAATAAGTAAATGTATCTTTCTTTTTGTTGGTACTATTTAAGCTTGTTGAATTATTGGTTTTGTGTCACTAAGGGATAATATTAAAGCATCGCTTATGATTTAGGTCTCGTCTCTTGCTGCTGTTGATTGTAACCTCATACTATTATGTTTCTTTAATGTTTTCTGTTAGTGAATATCCTGTTGATTAATTGATACCCAATGGTATATTATGTCAGCTCCCTTAATACCCAGGGGCCTGTGTCATAGTCACCCGGATAACCATGAAATATGTCGTTGGTTTATATACCCAGGAACGTATATTATAGGTGCCTGGATACCCAGGGGCGTATGTCATGCTGGATGTCATGATGTATATACCTAGATACGTACCCAGGGGCATATATCACTTGGATACACACATATCATCGTGTGGGTTCCTAAATATAAATTGTATGTGTTACCTATTAGCTTATATTTTTACTATTGTGAGCGGTTTTTTAATGTATAATTTACCTAATATATCATTATGTATTGATGTATAATATACATTTGATCTATATAAAACAATAAACAAAACGCACACTACTATATCTAGGTCTATATATAAATCATGAAACGATTTAGAGTTAAGCTATAAACCGTCTTGCATAATGTTATAATGATATAATGTTGAACGTTTAAGAAGAGGAATCTGAGAGTGTGGACAAGTTTCCCCAACCGGGAATCCAACCTTGGACCTTCTGCTGTCTATATACAAATGCCTTAAACAAATAGGCCATTAATATAAGCCTATACAGTATGCGTATTCTCACTACAATCACAATGTCAATCATTGTTTGGATATGATAAAATCAACTTATTAAGCCAATTGTAAACCGAAATTAGCATTAGTAACACGATCTTTTATGATTATTTACTTTTGACGTTTGTTTAGAATTCTTTTATGATCGATGTTCTTCGGAGAGTATATGCTTGTTATCACCATCAAATCCCAGAAATGTGGTAAGTAATCAACTATTTAATAATTATTCATTATTTATATTATACTTATAATGAATAACGGTATACTTCTCATTTATTTATTAATTTATCCTAATAATAATAACAATAATAATGATAATACTATACTAATAATAATTATGATGATGATTGATGATAATGATGAGGATGATGATGATGAATGCTGATAATGATAATGACAATAATAATGATGACGGTTACCATGACGATTGATAATGACAAGTTCAATGACAATATGATCATTGGTACATGAGCTATAAAAATACTATAATCTTATACACGAATAATATGTCTAGGTATATCCAGTATTTTTTAAAGAAAATATTTGACTGGAAATAAGTTCGACGCGTCACACTACAACGCGTTGTGGTTACGCAGTAAAATATGTCATTGCAGCTTCCGCCTCCGGCTACTTATATGCTTTCTCTCACTTTAGAGAAATATTGTTTTTGTAGCTAAGTCAACAGAAGTGTATTTCTCTCATTAGCCAGAAGCTTGTACTCGTTCCTAGGCCATAGTCTTAGCCAACATGGCGTTTACTAATTTGATAAATTATTTTCGGGATTAACCAGAGCCCATTTTTTTTCATTGATGACAGTGTGGATATAAAATATCTGTGTCTATAGTAATTATAATGTGAATGACTTTAATGTGGATTTCTCAAAAAGCTAACCTAATCATTTGAGGTGACTCTCATCCATATTGAAACAAACATCCGTAGTTTTCGATACCGGAATTGGCTGGTGATCAGTAAAGCCACCACTTTAGACGGTGTTTACTGTAATGTTTTATTTATGAATTAATTTGGTTTAGAAGAAGGCCCTTTTAATACCGGTATCAATTTGATTGGATAGTACCATAATAAAGAAATATAATACAATATAATATGTGTTACATAATTATACTTTTGTATATTACAAATCGAGTTTATATTTTAAATAATACCAACTAGCAAAAACTTTTTTCCAGCCAAGTTTTACACTTCATATTTCACCCCATATGGATAAACAACGGGGGTCCAAAATTAAGAGTTAAGTGTTAAGAAGAATTGAGGATGTTCGTCTCAAATTGGAAATGTGTCATTGGTTTAAACTATGACGCCTGGTGAATGAACGTCATTAATATTGTATGATTTTATTACTGTGTTATCTTAGGCAACTAACCGCCCGGTCACCTTAGCACCTAGACCTACACATTTGAATATCAATGTATTCCACTTAACTTGCTCTATTTCATTTTTTCAAGTTAAGTTAAATTTAGAAAATGAAACAGAGCAAGTTAAGTGAAATATCATTGTATTCACTAAACTTGCTCTATTTCACTTAAATTGCTCTATTCCATTTTCTGAAGTTTCTCTTTCTATATTTTGGCAGTCTACACATGAATAACGTTCGTATAGACGACGATGGTTATAGAATGTTTGATGAAGACGAATTTACACAACTACTAAATACAGCATCCGAAACTCTTGGTATGTATTTCTGCACGAGGAAAACATTTTCTCCAGCTGTTATGATAACCTTTCTTAGTTTCACATTAATTCTAGTTTGGAACCAAGTATGGACTAATCCTCATTTAAGTATTCCACTTGCGAATTTATTCGCGCGAGTCTAAAGCGTCGGTTCATATGCGCATGCGTTTTCGCTTCAGCGAAACCGGTAGTTCGAAAATGTTTCTACTATTTGCGAAGCGAAAAAAGCGGAGCAAATCAGAGCTCAGCCGAACAGATGCCTTCCTTTCCTAGTGAAAAAACAGGCTTTACGAGGATAGTAGTTGAGATTTGTTTCATTCTTGAGAAAAAATTCTGTGATGAAAGTAAATATACCGCGACCGTAATAATTATCTAGGTAACTATATCGCGAACTATGATTTTGATACCAAGAATATAGCTGTAATACCCATGCGCAATTTGAATTGCCACAATCGTAAGGCAATGCTATCAATTATCGCGAAAAACCATTTGCGCATAATGTAACGTAACTTTGTAATGCGCATGCCTAGTTGTAAAATGACACAAACATAATTTGATGTGAACACTGCAATGCGCAAGCTCATTTGGACTGCCACAACTGTTTATGATTGATATTCAAACTGTACATTACGCACGTCATTTGAAACTACAGTACGCATTTATACGTGTTTGTTAAATGTATTTGAATGAGACATTTTTTTCTTGTATCGGAATATCACGCTTTCATACAAATTAAACATAAAATGTATTTGCTTGAGCTAATATCATTCAATATTTTAATTGCTTACTTTGTACAATAAAGTGCATTATTAGATTTCAATTATATCTTTAAACGGGAAAATATTTTCTAGATAGTGTACAGAAGCATAAACCTAAATAATATGGTTAATATTATATGAAGTACCGGTATATAGAACAATTAATGGTTTTGATCTGTAATGTCAGGCACACAATGCACCAGACGGTCGTTGGCCAACGCAATTATAACGCAATGCGACGATGCGCGCGCAAGGGATCGTTTCAGACTGCTACCTCCAATCAGCAGACGGCGTCGTACGACTGCCGTACGACGCCGTGAGTGCCCGGCTTACCGCATTGCAAGTTGATAACATTTCTGTTTCTTTCAAATGAGCATTTAAAGGTTTTAAGTGGTTTTCAAAATCACAGAAAGTAGCCTAGGCCTATATTATACAACAAAAGACACCGGTATTCTATGTATTCACACGATCGTTAACATAATGATGTTTCCGCTAGGCTCCACCCATTGTCGTTACAGCGTAAACGAACATAAGCAAACGACTTTTTAGCAAAACGCGTGAGTTTGTGGGAAAACGCGTGTGTAATTGTGTGACGAACGCGTTTTTCTGGTAGGCTAACCTTCTAAGCGCCCCAAAAGTAGGAATCTGATTGATCGGTCGTAAAGTTTGATTGGCACTCGGAAAAGGTCCATAGTACAGTGGAAGTACACAGTGACAGTTCTGCTTATGTTATCGGAATTTCTCAAGTGTCTTCAACCATCAACATTGATTGATTGGTGGTCATAAAGGAGTGAAATTTCTACTGACAAGACTGAGGGCGCTATAATGTTGTTCCCGTTGTGAGCCATGTTTTGTAACAAATAAATTACCAGTTACAGTAAGCAACTTGCTAATCAGAATACGTAGGTCGTACATCGTTTATTAACGGATAGTTAATTTCCTTTTGAAATCGCATTTATGAAGTCCTAAGATACATTGAAAGCATGCATAAAAACACTAAGCAATACCGACCGCTGCCAAACAGATTGTCAAAAAATGAACTTTGAACGATTAAAAAAAACGCAACATACAGAGAGCCGTTGGTTTGTTTGCTGTCATCGATTATCAAAAAATGAACTTTGAATAATTATTAAAAAGTAACATACAGAGCCATTGGTTTGTTTGCTGTCATCGCAATGACATTTTATTTGATGATTTCACGTCATTGTAGTTTATATACTGCGCCGATACTGATGATAGTAAAAGCGCTAATACATCTGTTATAGGCTACAATAATTATGCCATGTAGTCTAATTAATTATTAGATAGTACCTTTATAGCTTAGGAGAAGATTTCTAATTAATACATTTGCCCTGGGCGCCAATAGCCAATCAGGAACAAGATATTAAGTATAAGACCGATGGAGAGGCAAGACATGTTTATCTTAGTCGAATCAAGGTGTGTTGTTGTAGGTTCAAGTTTAATTAGGAATGCCCAAGATTAATTCAATTTGAAGTTCTGTTCTTACTTTTTAAGAACGAGAACGAGCGTTGATGATATATGTACTAATTTAGAAAATGTTTACTAAACATCTGACATGTTCACTAATTTGAACTTATGTTTATAGCGTACAATTGTAGACGTTTAAAGAGCGACGCGTAAACATGAGCGATCATGTGAGATAGTAACGTCATAACACACCAATTTTCACCTCCAATTTGAGACTCCAAGATCAACTGACAACCTATCTTCAAACATTGAGCTCACCTTCTAATACAACTCCAATTCGAGTTCGAAAGTTAGACGCAAATTCTGAATAAACAAATATACCATAACTGAAAACGCATCATTTCACAAGCAACAGGGATATTTAACATTATATATTTTCATTATCATCGATGATATGACATTTTTTTGACTTTGTAAACTCATGTCAATCTAAAACCGGCTGGCATAGCTGTTGTTTCCAGCTCTCAATCTTGAGAGTAGTTGGGTTGGGGGTGGGTTGAATTAGTAAGCCTACGTCCCATACGTTGTCGTTAGTCAACCTATTTTATCTACATTCGACATCTCCACGCCCACATCATCCCCGACTACTTTTAAGATTGAGAGCCGGAACAACCGCTATGCCAGCCGCTTTTAGATTGACACGAGTTAACAAAGTAAATAATATATTAGTGGGCAAGCCCTCTGGACATCTTTCTTGAAGTTGGCCTGTTAATCGATCCTTCGTGCAATATTCCCTATCTAATATATAGAATACGACTATATTAATTGCATATAATTGTTGTCCAAATAATATTGTTAGCTAATACAGTAGTAAGGACGCCACACTACAAAAAAAAAAAAATAAATAAATAAAATCAACTAAAATTTCCTTTTGTTTTTATTCCAGGTGTAGAATACCCTATTATAGTTGAGCGTTTAGGAGAAGAATTTTTCTGCTTGTGTTTTGAAAAGTACGGCCGAGACTTAGGTACAATCGGTGGAACACTGTTTGACTTCTATAGCAATCTAGACGGACTCAAACAATACGTAACGGAATGTGGCAGCATAAGGCAAGAAAAGGTACGTATTATTAGTGCCAACTATAATAGATGATTATATCTATATGAAAATATAATGGAATTAGTTCCGGACAGTTAATGAAGAATGAATTATATTTTATGAATGAATTTTATACAGGCCTACGTGTCATTTTAATCTATTTCACGCCTTGATATCAATACTATTCACATGGGGTATGTAAATTAACAGCGCACTCGGTTTCTCGAAGTGTCCGAAAAAGAGGACATATATGCAAATTAAGATTGGCAGAGATATATTAAGTAATGTCAATCAAACTTAACAACTGACCAATCAGAAAAACGCGATGAATAAGCGCATGTCCCACAAAAACGTAAGTGAATTGTGTTGACATTTATTACTAATTGTATAGTTCTGGCAAAATCCCTTCAGCAAATCTTCCTATAGACCTACCATTTTAAACAAACCACACTTACAAAGAAGAAGAATCTTGAATCCATTCCATTAAAATTTGCTTTTGTATGATAATAGTAATATAATAAATAACAATTGAAGTTTTGATGGTTGTAAATATTTTATTTATGAAGTTTTCAGTAATTCTGTCTTTTCCCCGCAGTTGTCGTATTTCCGGTGTTCCCGCCAGACAGACTCGTTGCAATTGTATTTCTACTCAGACAGCAAACTACTACGAGATAGCATGGTAGGCCACCTAAGAATGATATCGGTACTTCTTTTCAATACGTTTGTCGAAGTATCCCGAATGAACATAGATAATGGCAGTCCTGGTATATACTGTATTCAACCGTTGTCTGACAACACCTCGAACGATCTAATCGGCGGCGAGTTCAACTTACCTTCCAAAGTCGGTGAATCCAGAGTAAAGGTCCTAACGTTCTGTAAATCTTTTCCTTTCCATGTGGTGTTCGACAGGAGTTTAACTATTATCCAAGCTGGAGATTCTGTTCTAAGATTTTTAACGCAGGATGATGACTTCGCGAATTTGAATCTGAATGATTGTGTAACATTCATGCAACCAGCTCTGGAACCGGTTGATTTTGAGTCGATTATTGATCATATCAATTTCCCGTATATTTTACGAACAAGACCGGGAACCAAGGGTAACCAAGAGTCTGAGGTGAGTTATTAAACCACTTGTCATTAACCTTCTCATGATGAGAACGTTATAAACTTAACAGAAAGAAAATTAAATTGGTTAGAACATGGACATATTAATAGGTCCATGGTTAGAAGTGTTTAAAATACAAGATCACATTTTAGCGAAAGGTTAGTGAGGTGGTTCCCAAGTGTGAAAATGACAACACTAGGTTCTGGTTTCTGGTAACTTCAGAAGTAGGGGTATAACAGGCGGGTAGAAACAATGTCAAGCGCTAAGAAAAGTTCACCATCGCCGTTAAAGACACATAACCTGAGCCTTCACAAAGCCGTATAGACCAAAAATGGACAGGAGACTCACAATAGTTCATTTCATTTTATTCAGGAATTAAAATCACATATTTCTTAAATACAAAACAAAAACAAATAACAGATAAATGATTAAGAACAATAGGTACGACATTAATTCCTAGGGTAACCAAAAGTTTTAAGATATTAAAAACTTATTTCTATTGGGGCCCGAACTTAAAAAAATAAATAAATAAATTAAAAAAAAACATGATTTCGGATACACGCTATTAATCTGATTGTTGCATAATATTGTACGTACTCGTTGAGGATAACAACATTTCTAAGTGCTTTAGACGATTTTATTGTCAACAGTTATGTGAATTTGTAGTGGAATATTTAGAAGTAGAGTGTACGAAAATTACACATCCAACAGAGTATACCAGTAAGATATTAAGACATGTCAGCAAATTAGAGAAAAGAGAAAGCGTCCGATTAAAAAGGAAATTTGAATGGTAACTAAAATTCAATTCTCTGGAAAAGTAGTCGAAAGTTTTTTTCAATGGTAATGTTATCATTGTCGGATGGCCAGATCAAAATCGTCCACACTTATGAACCCATGTTTCCCCTTTTGTAGCCTCATACGGATCATTCGTCTGTATACATGAATGTATTTAATAATAATTTAAAATGCATGTCACTTGATGCCAACATAAAAAAAATGTAGGCCTAGGTCTATACATGTATAATGATACATTAATTCAATAGTATATCCTCAATTAAACTAACGTGAACATAACGAGAAAAACATTTGTGAATATTTTACTTTGTTGGATTGCAGTGGAATCAAAAGCCTAAGGTTGTTTTGTTGTAAAGAAAATTGATTAAACAACAGATTCGCTATATTGCATAGTTACAATCGTAACTTAATCGAAGTCATCGAACTAAAAAAAAACCATGATTTTGGATACGCACTATTAATCTGATTGTCGTATAATGTTGTACTAACTCGATGAGGATAACACAAAACCGCCAAGTGCTTTAGACGATTTTACAGTCATCATATAGTGGCCATATACTATACATTTGAACATTTATAGAAATGGATACAGTACTTAAAACTTGCTACCTCAAAAAACGACATAATTAATTTTCCATAGTTATCCATCTTTTGATTGGCCGTAACAAACGCGTTACCTAATTTACATCCAGACGCGCACGCGCTGTCCTTAGAATGAGCTACTATGGCTATGTTCTCACACGGCAGCTAACGGTTAGCAGGATCTGCATCCTGCTAACCGTTAGCTGCCGTGCGTCCATGGGAGAAATTCCCGATCCGGATACCAACAATATGATGATCGAATTACTGGCCAATAAGAAACTGGAAATTGTAAACGCGTACGTGTGATTGGTTGATGATAGAAATGCCCTCAACTTGCTAACCGATAGCGCTTGCTAACCGTTAGCGTATCCCGGTTAGCGCTAACCGATCGGGCGTTCTCACGCAGGTGCTAACGGTTAGCGCTAACGGTTAGCTCCCGATCCGGATACTAGGGCTCTCGTGAGAACCAGGCTATAAGCTTTCGTGAGAACAGCAACTTAACATGATCGGCTTATAATACCTCCCTGATTTAAGGATTCGTATGACCACTGTGACTGCACGCCTAGCACTGACAACAGTCTAAGATGATTTCTTGAAATGAAATATTAATACACCTAGGCCCTACTAGTAAAACTACTAATATCGTAAATCAACGATTCATTTTCGGTATTCTCAGGTTGTTTGAGCTGATGCATTGATCCGTCCTCGTATGTACCAGAGCATGATACATTAACGAATGATTGTAACATTGCGTGATTTATAGTTTCGATGGGTAGAAATTCGGATCAATTGGGATGTGATGTATATGTATTTATGTGAAGAATCTATACATTGCACAAACTTCAACAGTCCGAAGACATACATTAATCACATACGACAGAAGGAATGCATGTTTCAAACATTCGAGCGAGTATGATTTAGGCATTGTTTGTTAATGTGTAACAACTCCAATTGATGATGTACTGAAAATAGAAGTGTAGACCTAAAGTAAAGTAAAACAATTCACTTTTATTAACTAAGCAATTTGGGATGGACTAATGAAGACCCAGCTCCTATTGCAGTACTACTCCCTCTAGAGAACTGGACAGTACATCGGAAGAAAATCATCGTCTTTTTATTTTCAAAAGTTTAGCCTACTGTGTTTAACTAGTCAACGTGCCAGTTCTGGAAGACAGTTGTAACCACCAGTTAATATCTGCGCTAAGACTCTTGTTGGCTTAGGCCTATATATTATTTTGTAGGTCTAAACCCTTCTACCATCTGTATCTACAAAAGAAACTCAAATACACTGCAGTATATTAGGCCTACGTAAAATTACGAAATATAGAACATTTCAACGATTCTTTAAGACAAACTTTTAAAGGATGAATGATAAAATACCGTTCGTAATAGCAAATATTTTATTTTTGACCACAGGCAAGGGTGTCGACATCATTTAACATTTACGTCAGAATTGTCGTTAGATAACGAGCGATTTTTTATACATATCTACTTAGGGTTGACGTATTTTATATTAGTTTGAACTTGAATTTTGGGATATAACTACATCGAATCAGGTTCCATCAGATTCAAATAATACTGATCACTCATAAAGTTGAACATCATAAAACTGCCCACTGCATTCAGAAATACTTTATTACCCATCATGCACTAGATTGATTCGTTGTGTAATTAACAGTATCGTCTACGTAGTAATGTGTGTATAATCTTTTTTGTAGGTTTTATTTTGTCTAGCTTTGACTGGTAAATTAGACAAAATATATAATATACTTAAACATACATACATAAATTGACCTATTTTTATTTCAGTGGTTATAATAGACTATGTACTCACGATCTAAATACTAATAATTCCAAACATAAATTAATTGCATTTTAAATTATTTTTTAATTAACGGAAGGTTAATTTGTCGTGAAATCTTTTATGCTTACAGTCAATCGGATTTAACCCGCTTTCTATGACCATACTATCAAATAGCTTAAATTAATAACGTTTAAATATTGTCTGTTCATTCATCCAATTTTCGGATCTACTAAATTAGTAATTATTCACTCTGGCAACAAAATTAAGTATTATTTGAAAACAAGCAAATGCTGTTTACTTTAATTTCCGTTGTTTAAATAGTGCGAAACAACGGCAAAATCCTACACTTACGTTAAAATGAGTTTGTTGGCGCCAATTCGTTGCCAGATTATCGGTTGCTTTTAACATATTATTTGCCAATGTTATTGTCGAGTTGCCTGATGATGACGAACCGGACGATTAACTTGGGATTACAAAGCACCATGGAGGACATTTTTTGCGGACCTAGAACTAAGCAATTACTAGTATTATTTGGATACTGGTTGGGTGCTAATCTAAGACTTGCTTGCCAAAATTCTCTGGCGATACCGTTTTTGAGCAATCTTTCATCGGGCCAATAACTAGTTAAATCCAAACATCATTTTTTTTGTTAATAGAGGTTAGCATTTCACATTTGTATGCAGACATTTTGAGACGCATATTTTGTTCAGTTCCAAAAATGTCCAATTGCATTTATTTAGATTCAATTTATTCAATTTCAGCAACAAAAGTGTCACAGATTACAAATTTGAAAATAAATAACTTTGAATTCCAACGTTCTGTACCACAATTACATGAATGTGGAATTAATATCGCCATTTGAGAAAGAAATCAATAAGCAGACATTATAATTGATACAAAGAGAATTGAATTATAGAAATTTGCATGTTTATAATTATATATGTTTAATGTCCAATTAAAGACAGGTTTTAATTGTCACTCGTTGACAAGCATGTGTTTTTAGAGCTTAATTAAAGGGTTTTTTTACATGGCTCCGTACCATTTAATTTGGTTAGGAATTTTAGATAGCCTTGTATGAACTACATACATGGATTCTTTTCTTAGGACCCTTTGACGGACTTCTTTTCGAGACGGCGTCTTTTCGAGATGGGCGTCTTTTCGGGATGGGCTTATTTTCGATATGGGCGTCTTTTCGGGGTGGGCTTCTTTTCGAGATGGGCGTCTTTTCGGGATGGGCTTCTTTTCAAGAATACTTTTGCAAACTAAGAATGGGCTTCTATTCAATAGTAAATAATTGGAAAATTGCTACCGCACTTTACGACATTTTCCAACTATTCTGTTTCATATTTGTTTTTACTTTTAACTATGATAGGATTATTTTATTTTATTTATTGGGGCTGAGGGGGATAGTTAAGAAAGGGGCTAAGCTCGACTAAACTTGTCTCTTTTTTGGCTCCTATTATACCATTTGTTTGTTTTTTGCGTATACAATAAAGAAGAAGAAAAATATAGATACTTACATGCTATGATAATCATCATAGATAACGTCAGTTTGAATGTAGTGGTACTATCTCGAAAAGAAGACAATAATATCTTGGTTATTAGAACCCATGAGGTTACTTTTGCAAACTAAAGAGGGACTTCTTTTCGAGATGGTCTTCTTGACATTAAACCTATTGAGCTTCTATTTGAGGTTTTACGGTAATGCCTATAATATTTTTGTGTCTAATCACTTTTGGTTTATATCATGGTTATCGGAGTTCCATTTAAACTTTTAGTTCATTACCAGAATACTTAATATGGTCGAGACGATGTGGTCACAGGTTAT